CCCTTCCCGCCTGCCGGCGAGGTCTCCCGGGCCCGCTCGAGGACGCGCGCCTGCCGGGGGGTGGGCGCCGGGGAGGCAGGCCCGCCACCCGCTGAAGCCGAGAAGATGCTACAAGCCACGCGTCCGGTCGGGCACAGGGCACTTCAGTGCGCTGGCCTCTCCCGCAGCGCCCGTGGCAGCCGCGCATCAAGCGGGTCTCTGTTTGCGACCTTTTCATTTCAACCTCCTTCAGCATTATCTTGCTTTTTAAAGACTTTATTTACCTGAGAGAGAGAGCGCGCGACAGAGGCAGCCAGAGAGCCCCAGGCGGGGCTCGATCCCAGGACCCCGGATCAGGACCCGAGCCACCCGGGCGCCCCGAACTTTTTTATCATCTCCTTTACATGGTTGGCACAGGGTCGGCACCTAACCGAGGCTTGAGAAAAGAATGAGTGCATTTTGTTCTGGATCTCTCCCAGTTCTAAAACTGCATGATTTTAGAGCTTATGTCTAGCGAGGTGAGCTGTCGCTAGAAGAATTTCCGTATCTAAGACGTAAGTGGCGCAGGAGTTCATCTTAGAGGAGACCCGAGTCTGGAAAGAGGCTTGATAATCATCCAGTAGAAAATGGAGATGCTACAGTAAAATACTTCAGCACAAATCGGCCTCTGGTGGGAAGAGATCCAATGAGAGAATTCCTTAAATGGGAACAATTTTACGTGTTCCGGTGTAGCTGTCAATTCAGTGCAGAATATAAAGAAGACTAACGCTGTCTCAGAGGACACCCCAACCTTCACTGTACTGAGATACGAACAGCATATACCTCACTTACTCTCCACAATTCCCGTCAAAATCAATACCTCATATTCACTCTCTGGGTTTGTTTTGGTATAAGTATTGTTTTTATTTCAACCTTTACTTAGAAAAAATTGTAGGAACAATGGAACGAGCACTATACTCCTTTTCCCTAGATTCACCTATTATTAATGCTTGCCGCTTGTTTTCTCCTTCACATATACTTTACTGCTATTACCTGCTAACCCACTAAACCCCTCGAAAATGTGTCGCAGGGGCGCCTGGGTGGCTGTTGGTTAAGCGTCTGCCTTTGGTCAGGTCATGATCCCAGGGTCCTGGGACCAAGACCCTCAACGGGCTCCCTGCTCAGCGGGGAGTCTGCTTCTCCCTCTCCCTCTCTCCCCAGCTCCTGCTGTCTCTCTCTCAAATAAATAAAATCTAAAAAAAAAAAGTGCTGCAGTACAAAGAACCTTCACCCCGAAACACTTCAGGAAGTACCTTCTGAGAGAAGAGACCTTCTGTCTTGTGACCACAAAACGATGATTGACTCAGGAAACTGAACACTGATGCAATGCTGTTATTGAACGTATAGTCTGTTTACTTTAAACCAATTGTCCCAATGATATTCTTTACATAAATTTTATTCCAATCTAGAATCCAACCTTAGCTTACACAGACTTTAGTTATTATATTTCTTTAATCTCCTTTAATCTAAAACAATTCCTCAATGCTTCTCTTTTATAATGTAGATACTTTTGAAGAACACAGGCCAACCCTCTACCCCAAATTTGGGTTTGTCTAATGTTTCCTTATGATTAGATTCGGGTTACACATTTTCGCCAGAAATACCACAGAAGTCATGATGTGTCCTCAGTGAAGCAATCATATCAGAAGTCATGTATCAGTTCATCCTGTTTCTAGTTGTTGTTTGACTACCTGGTTAAAGTGTTGTTTGCCAGATTTCTCCACAGCAAAGGTATCGTTTCACCTGGATTATGTTTTTAAATTTAGGCAGATAGCTCCTTAGGCAGCATGGTCAAGAACCACTTAACGCCAGCAGCTGCAGGATCAGCTGCTTGTGTATCTCTGGCCTCAGCCACTGGTAATTAACTCAGAGCTGCACAGGGCCCAGGAACCTCTTCCCCTTCCTTCTTTCAATATTTACGGAGCAACTAATACTTGTCAGGTACTGTTTAAAGTGCTGAGATATACTGAGAATAAAACAAGAGTCCTGCTTTCCGCCATTCTTAGCTCAAAAACGTTCTGGAGGGCTCCCCCTGCTGGGTCTCATTAGACATAGGACTTAACAGGTAACAAAAAACTAATACAGACTTTGGTAAGAAGACAACTCTGTTTAATCCCCCATATCTGTTTAGAATGTTTGTATTATTGTCTAGGGTTGTTCTCAAATTAGGTTAACAAAAGCTGATGTATTTCTTGGAGAGAAATGTGTAGAATATATGTGGGTTGAAAGCCAGTTCAAAGTAACAGCTTTTATCAAGGACAATGATGATGACTCAAGACAGACTTCTGAAAACATATTCAAGTAACCCACAAGAAGGCAAGGAAGAGAAACCACAGAAATGCAATACAGGGAATAAGGAAAAAAAATAGCAAACTTAAGCCGTAAAATACCAATAATTACATTAAGTGGAAATCATTTCCATCCTCCAATTAAAATACAAAGATTGGGGGTTTGAATTTAAAAACATCACCCAAGCATATGCTGTTTATAAGGAGCTCACCTCAAATTTAATGATATAAGTAAACTGAAAGTAAAAGGATGGAAAAAGATACATCACGCAAACATCAAAGAAAAGGAGAAGCAGGGATTATTCCTTTGCTGGCTGTCTAGATTTCAGAAGGTGTTGAAGAAAATGTTAATTATGCACATTACACTTCAAAACATGTCACATCTGTAGCTGTTATGTTGTGGGTAGCACAAAAAAATGAGAAAATACTCTTCCAGTATTTCAAAAGTACCATGAACTTCATATCATGTCCCTCACAACATAGGTAGTGCTGAAGCTGAAAGAGGTTTCAGTTGTGTAAGTATAATTTGTAGGAGGGTGAAAATGCTGGAATGAAAGGTTTGGTTTTCCCTCTTCCCTTTTGTCCTTCTCAGTTGTGAGCTCAAGGAGTATTTTCACAAGGAGAAAAGTATGCCCTGGGCTTTCGCCATAAAGGCCCCACTAGATTTTGAGCTTCTGGAGGCCAATGCCCTTCTGCTCTCCCTATCAGTAAGACTTTAACACATTCTTTATTCACCAGGAAATGCTAATTCTGGGGGTGGGGATCAGGAAGGGTCTGCAGACCACTCACTTTTGGTCAAAGGCTTGGTTAGGTAGGGAGAGAAACAGACAACTCAGCTCACACATCCCAAACTTGGATTTTCTAGTGTCCTTGACTGGTACTCAGAGTAGTGATTTTTCTTTTTTTTTAAAAAGATTTTATTTATTTATTTGACACACAGAAAGAGAGCACAAGTAGGCAGAGAGGCAGTCAGAGGGAGAGGGAGAAGCAGGCTCTCTACTGTGCAGGGAGCCCGACGTGGGGCTTGATCCCAGGACCCTGGAATCATGACCTGAGCCGAAGGCAGACGCTTAACCGACTGAGCCACCCAGGCACTCCCAGAATAGTAATTTCAATGCTGGGAATGGCTAACGCTAGTTAGAAATCAAAATGGTTTTGGGCACCTGGGTGGCTCAGTCGGTTAAGTGTCTGCCTTTGGGTCAGGTCATGATCTCAGGGTCCTGGGATTGAGCCCCACGTCGGGGCTCTCCCTCTCTTCCCCGCTCACGCTCTCTTCTCACTATCTCTGTTGCTATTTCTGTCTCTCTCTCTCTCAAATAAATAAAATCTTAAAAAAAATCAAAATGATTTGAAAAAACAACATAAAAACTCATGAATTCAGTAGAAAAATATTTTTTATAGCTGCCCTTGTATATTTTTTCATTGTATTAACCAATACTTCATTGCATTTAGTAAAAGTAATCACAGGTAAATTTCTTGTTGACATTTATTTTTCTAAACTCTCAACTTTTCTAGCATTATGACCTTTATAAAAACTCTTTGATGTGGCATCTCTGATTTTCTTTAAATAATGAAGTCCAAGAAACATTTTATTTCAGTTAAAAAAAAAAAGTCCTGGATTCTTCCTGAAGTTGTTACCTAACACCGGGGCAAGGTGTCCAGTTGCTGTGGATTCTCTGGCCCTTGATCAGGGCCGAGTTCCCACGCAGGCTCCACTCTGCTCATTCTGCTGCTGGGGCTTAGCACAGTGTGGCCCCTCAGATGTTGGAACAGCGTTGCTCTCTGCCTGTAGGCCTTCCCACACTCTTCACACTGACAGGGTTCTTCCTCAGAGTGGACTCTCTTATGTTTATTGAGATCTGACTTCCAACTGAAGGCCCGCCCACATTTGGAACACTCAAAAGGTTTCTCTCCTGTGTGGATTCTGAGATGGTGACTCAGACCTGTCTTCTGACTGGCTTTGCCACACTCTACACTGATAGGGCTTCACCTTGTTGTGAATCCCCTGGTGTTCGATAAGATGCTCTCCCCTTGTGAAGGCCTTCCCACATTCAGAACGCTGGTAGGTTTTATCCCCAGTGTGGATTCTTTTATGGTTCCGCAGGCCAGTTGACCGAGTAAAGGTCTTTCCACACTCGTCACACTTATATTTTCTTGGCTTGGGGGGGCGCGGTTCCCGTGCTTCCCTCCCAACCTGTGTTTATTAAGACCTGAGCAGCATTGACTGAAGGCTTCACCACACTCATCACATTTATAGGACTTCTCTCCAGTGTGACTTGTTTGATGTATGATCAGGGTTGAGCTCATGCTAAAGGCTTTTCCACACTCGGCACACTCATAGGGTTTTCCCCCCGAGTGGGTTCTGTGGTGGATTATGAGTTCTGAGCTCCAGCTAAAGGCTCGTCCACATACAGGACATTCAAAAGGTTTCTCTCCGGTACAGATTCTCTGGTACTGGTTAAGTCCTGCATACTGAGTGAAGGCTTTTCCACACACTTTACAGTTATAGGGTTTTTCTTCACTGTGAATTTGCTGATGCTCAGTAAGGTGTGAACATTGCCTGAAGGTTTTCCCACACCCATTACATTTGTAAGGTTTCTCTTTGCTGTGGAATCGCTGATGTTCAGTGAGGTCTGAACTGTGTGCAGAAGGCTTTACCACAATCCACACATTCAAAAGGTCTCTCTCTAGTGTGGAGACTTTGATGCTTTGTAAGAACTGATCTCTGACGGAAACACCGGCCACATACAGTACACCGATATGGCTTTTTTCTAGTGTGGATTTTGAGATGTTGGAAGAGGCCTGCTTTCTGACTGAAACTTTTGCCACACTCTTTACAGTGATAAGTCTTTCCATGCTGCGAAGCCCCTGGTGCTGGGTAAGTTCTGCATGTCTGATGAAGGCCCTTTCACATTCTGTACATGAGTACGGTTTCTCCCCAGTGTGGATCCTCCTATGCATGTGAAGGCCTCTTATCCAGGTGAAGGTTTTCCTACATTCTTCACATGTATGTATTTTTTTACCTGTGGCACCCCCATCCTGCGTTTCCAAACTTCCATTAGGCTCACTGTCTCCTGTGCATTTGGCATGCTGAGACAGAGTTCCATCATGTTCATCAGACCCCTTCCCACATGGTTCTGCTTCTTCACAAAGTTCCTGCTTCATGCCTAATGTCATGTTGTCAGTCCTCACACCACCATCCGAACACAGACCTCACAACTTGAGGAGCAAAGATGACTCAAAAATAACTTAAGAGACAGACAGCTAGAAAGGTTAATCTTTATTTTAGGTTGATGTTAACAGATGATATTGTTTCCTCTCTTAGTGTTAGAGGTTCAGAGAAAGAGGTTAGTCAAGGTGGAAGGAATGGTAGTAATACAGTGTGGAAGTGAGAAAGAAAAAAGCATGGCTGAGTTATCAGCAGAGTGTGGCAAAGCTGACAGGCTGTCACTTCTGTGATTACATAAGACTGTACCTTCCATCTTGCTAGTGGACTCTCTATTGACACTCGTCCTTGCTGGCTTGCCAACTTCGATGAAGAAAGCCACCATATGGAGAAGCCCATGGGGCAAGGAACTAAGGGTGGCCTCTGGCCAGCAGCCAGCAAGGGACTGAGGCCCTCTGTCTGACAGAGAAGTGAGTCCTGCCAACAGCCATGTGAGGTTGGAAGTGGATCCTTCCCTAATCACAACTCAGATATCTGAGACATCAGCCCTGGGACCTTGACTGCAACCTTGTAAAAGACCCAGAAGCACAGAGCCTGGCTGAGCCAACCCAGACTCTCCACCTACAGAAACTGTAGGTGTGTAGTTTGAAGCCACTAACTTTGTAGTAATTTGTTAAGCAGCAGTTAAGAACTAATATACCAGTGATATGAACATACAAAGCTTCCTTAGTATAAGAACTACTACACTTAAAAAGAAAGAAGAAGAATGCCTCGCTGGCTCAGTGGGAAGAACATGCAACTCTTGACCTCAGGGTTGTGAGTTTGAACCCCATGCTGGATGTAGAGATTACTTAAAATTAAAATCTTTATTTATTTATTTTTAAAGATTTTATTTATTTGAGAAAATGAGCAAGTGACAGAGAGAGCACAAGTGGGGGTAGGGGCAGAGGGAAAGAGGGAAGTGGACTCTCTCGCTAAGCAGGGAGCCCGATGCGGGGCTCGATCCCAGAACCCTGGGATCATGACCTGAGATGAAGGCAGATGCTTAACCGACTGAGCCACCCAATCATCCCAAAATTAAAATCTTAAAAAAAAAATAGAAAAAAAGTACGGTGCCTGGGTGGCTCAGTCAGTTAAGCATCCAACTCTTCATTTTGGCTCAGGTCACAATCTTAGGGTTTTGGGATCAGTCCCCTGTCGGGCTCCATGCTCAGCAGGGAGTCTGCTTGAGATTCTCTCTCTCCCTCTGTTGCTCCCCCACCCTCTAAATAAATAAATAAATAAAATCTTAAAAAAAAAGAGGGAAAACAAACCATACATTGAAAATCATACATATATGTGTATGTACGTATACGAAGGTATGCACATATGCATGTTTGTACTTGTATTTATATATTTATGTGTATAAATGACATGTACAACAAAAAACATAAGAAAATTATGTTAACATCAAATGTAATTGTCCTAATAGCCATATCAATAAATGCAAATGGCTTAACTCATTAAAAAAACATTAGATTTGATCACAGACCAAAACTCAACTCTATTATACATACAGGAGACATATATACAACATAATGATTGAGAAAAGTTATGAATAAAGGATGGATAAGGATATATTAAGCAAATGCAAATAAAAGGAAAGAAGGCATCAAGATTTCAATTTCAGAGAAAGGGGAGATTCAAGCCAAAAGCATGAAATGAGACAAAGAAGACTACTTAAAAATGCTAAAATAAAGAACACAATGTGCAACGCAGATGTAACAATATGAATAATTATGCAGAAAACAACAGAGTGACAACTTTCTTGAAGCAGAAACTATAAAAAGAAACAGACAAAACAAAGAATAGACTTTAATTGTCCTTTCTGTGTCTGAAAAGCACCAAATGGACCAGAAAAATATAGATAAAAGAAGATTTACAAAATGAAATCAATAAATTCAATCTTGTAGATACATATGTATGTCAAGGTCTGATCCTGAAAATAGAACAACTTTTCAGACGTGCAGTAAACATTAATGAAAACTATCTTTTGGGTCATAAGAAAACCACAATAAATTATAAAAGATAGGAATAACACAAACACTCTCTGATCACAATAAATTAAAAACAAAATCAGAAAACAAGCTCTTTCATCTGTAAATTTTAAACTCCAACAATTGGTTGTTCGAAGGGAAACTTTCAGATTTTCTGGGAAATAATAATGAAAACACTACATTTCAGAACATTTGGAATTCATCTAAACCAGTGTTCAATGAAATATTCATAGCATCAAATACTTATATTAATAAACAGGAGAATGAAAATACATAAATCAACCCAGCTCAAAAGTTAGGAAAAAAATGGGGTGCCTGGGTGACTCAGTTCGTTAAGTGTCTGACTCTTGATCTCAGCTCAGGTTTTGATCTCAGGGTCATGAGTTCAAGCCCAGCATTGGGCTCCATATTGGGTGTGGAGCCTACTTAAAACAAAACAAAAAATACCACAAAAAAACAAAACCAAGATAGCCTGCTCATTTATGCACACTTTATTGGCTTTTCTCCCTTTAGTGTCTCAATTCCTGCTCCTTGTGCTTCTTGGGATCCCCTTTGATATAAACTGTTAAAACCATAAGTAAATAAGTGACTGAGTGAATAAACAAACCAAAGGAGAACACAAGAAAGGAATTTAAAAAAAACGAAGAAACCAAATACAATACAGAACAGTGATGGAACGTAATGGTAAAGCAGAATGAATACATCAATATAAACTCATATGTTTGTTAGGAAAAAATGTCTATCTAGCTCTGCCCATGAAATGTCCTAGAAGCAGGGTTACCTATGTGATAAAGAACACCCCTAACACCCAGACTTTATTCTCCAATAGCATTCTCTATTAACAAGAACCAAGGCTCCTTCAGAAATGGTTGATACCAGATCTGGGTATAGGGAAGGTACAAGGTGAGCCTAAAACAAGTTATTTTGTTCAAAAAGCAAAAGCAAGCAGTCAAAATTAATAGAGCCATGGCAAAACAGAGCTAGGAGCAAGACTGAAGACATCCACACAAGCCACAGATGTGAGGAATAAGGGATGGATTTTTAATGAGGGGGCTGAAACACACTGACTCAGTAAAAATTCCTAAGTCCAGAGGTGCCTGGGGAGGCTCACCTGGTTAAGCATCTGCCTTTGGCTCAGGTCATGATCTCAGGTCCCGGGATCGAGCCCCATGTCAGGCTCCCCACTCATCAGGGAGTCTGCTTCCCCTCTATCCTCCCCTCCCATGCTCTCTCTCAAATAAATTAAAGCTTTAAAAAAATAAATTCCTAAGTTCATAATGATACCAACACAGAAAACGTCCTAAAATCTCAAGTCGCCATTTAAGATGACTAATAAACCACTTCTTGAATTTGAACATTGGTAAATAAAGGGGGAAAACAAAGCATCAATCATGCATGACTGCTTAGAAGGAAGTGACCAAATAGACAGATGTGATGAAGGAAAGCTTCAGTATGAAGAATGCCAGTTAATAAAATAGAAGGAATAAAGAATTATAAAATCATCCTGTAACCCTTAATAAAATGGTTGACCCATACAAGGATTATCAGACATTTGTCATCTGTTGATGGGAAACCATTCGCATAGTGCCAAAGTGACACTACATCATTAGCTATAAGGGGAAAAATTAGCTGTTCAATGAAGGGATCACACTGTCATGCCAAGCCAGTGATTTAATAGTGGGCCACCCAGGTATTAATGTCTCCTATTATCTAACATTAATTCTAGCCAAAAATGCTTAACTCAAATCCTTCAAGCCTTGAGATCTAATTTCCAGTTTATAGGAAATACAAGGTACGTGGGCAGCAAAGTAAGTGATACAATGAGGAAGCAATCAGAAAAGTCCAGAGGGTGGGAAACTGGCCTCCGCTCATCTGAAAGTCTGGGCTATGGGAAAAAAATAGAAGAGGGGAACTGTTCTAAAGCAGAAAAGAATTAAGAGGCATAATGACCAGATACATCATGCTGCCCTGGGTTCTAACCTGAGTTGGACAAATCAGCTTTAAATACATTTTGGAGGGGTGCCTGGGTGGCTCAGTCAATGACCTTCGGCTCAGGTCATGATCTCAGGGTCCTAGGATCCTTGGCCCACTCCATGCTCAGCAGGGAGTCTGCTTCTCCATCTCCCCCCTCTCCCCACTGGTGCTCTCCATCTCCCCCCACCATGGTGCTCTCAAATAAATAAATAAATCTTTAAAAAATACATTTAAGAAAAAATGAGACTATTTGAATTCAGATTGAATTTAGGTAACATGAAAATGTACTGACAGAGGAAAGATCATTAACAAAATACCTGGTTATAAAATAGCACAGAGTATGACCTTTTTTTGGTAAAAGGTAGTGTGTATGCACATGTGTACCCATATATGCATATAAATACATATGCACATAAAAAGATACACAGATATAGAATAAAAAGCCATCAATTATAATCTCTGAATGACAGAACATCGTGCTTTATTTTCTTATGTTGCTTTTATGTATTTTCTAACTTTGTACAATGCATATATACTTCTCTGGTAATAATAAAGGGTAACTTTCAGGAAAGTCAGTACAGTTTTACAGTGTTAATATCCTATCTGTATCTACTGAAGGATGTAAGCATCAAAATACTTGAAATAACATTCGCTACTAGACCATATGTAGAAAATTCAAATATGGATATTTAAAACTGACCATGCTGAAGCTGCTCTGAAAGGACTTACTACCTTTTAATCATTATTACCCTAAATGTCACCTTTGTCATGTTCTTCAATAACCCTTGTCACAAGGAATTAGTGTCACACTCCAAAAAAAATTCAACTCAGAGGTCATTTCAGTCCAAATTCCCTAGAGAAATTCTTGCCTCACCTCCTTCCTCTGATGGTTGGGGCTCAGGTCCTTTGCCCTTGAACTGGATCACTGGGGGCTGAACCCATGTGTATGAAGATTCTTCATCTAGTGTCTGAAGGGTCACTGTCTGCAAAAGGATTTCCTGTTCCAGAGCATGGGTTTACACCTAGAGACAAGCAAATCATTAAGCTTTAAGGATATCAAGAATTTAACAGAGATTAAGCCTCTGGGGGAGTCCACAAGAAATATTCTCCGAGAGACTAGGAAAAAGAAATGAGAAACCAGGGCCTTATTTACCTTCTGGGGCACTGAGAAGCAGCCAGAAAGCAAAATTCGATCAGGTGTTGTTTCTGTCATTTCACTGTTGGCTGTGTGGTCTTGGCCAAGTTACCCAACCTCTCTGAACTTAGTTTTCCATGTGTGCAAATTGGGAATGATTTCACCTACTTCTTTGTTGCTGTGAGTTGAGTGACCTGTAAAGTAAGGAGCATGATGCTCCTCATTCTCTCTGAAATACAGAATGCCTTCAGTATCCTTGCTCACCATCCAGGAATCTGCTGTTCCCCGCCTTCCCTCTTTACTGGGCTGGCTTAGCAAGAAGCTCAGTTCCCTGCTGAATGCTGGGTTTTCCCATTGTTCTCTGAGTTCCACAACTGAGAATGTTTTGTTCCAAGCTTTCCGCAACCATATCAGACCAGTGTCTTCCTACTTGTACATTTCTCTTTCTTTCCAGATCCTCCAGCATGGTCACTGCCTGCTCTCTGCTCTCTGGATGCCGCTCCCGCACCCGGGCCTGCAGGTCCTCGGGCAGGATGGTCAGGAACTGCTCCAGCACCAGCAGCTCCACGATCTGCTCCTTGCTGTGCGTCTCGGGCCGCAGCCACTGACGGCAGAGCTCCCGGAGCCGGCTCGGGGCCAGACGGGGTCCAAGGGAACGCTGGTAGCAGAAGTGTTTGAACTGTTGCCTGAAAATCTCCCAAGCAGGGGGCTGGTCCTCTGGAAGGCTGAGAGCCTGATCCCTGGGGTGGTCCTCCTCCAACTCCACTTTCACCATCTCAGGCCCCTGCTGCTGACCCATCCGGCTTCGGACAACTGGCCAGCAGACTTTCTTGTGTCCACAGCCATCCTGCCTGGCTTCTGCTGGAGTGTAAACTGGAGACTTCTGAGGGCATCTAGCGAACAGAATTTAAGGAGATAAATGGCAAAGCTGTGAAGAACCCACACAAGAAGGAGGACCTGTAACCAGAGTAACTAATTTTATTCATTCATTAAATCCACAAGTATTTTTTTTTTTTAGATTTTTTATTTATTTATTTGAGAGAGAGAGAATGAGAGAGAAAGCACATGAGAGGGGGGAGGGTCAGAGGGAGAAGCAGACTCCCCGCCGAGCAGGGAGCCCGACGCGGGACTCGATCCAGGGACTCCAGGATCATGACCTGAGCCGAAGGCAGTCGCTTAACCGACTGAGCCACCCAGGCGCCCGCCCACAAGTATTTATTAATAGAGGCCTCCCTTGCGCAGAAACTGTTCTAGGCTCTTGAAATACCTTCGTGCCCAAAGCAAAGCCCTCCTGGAGGTCGGCTGCACGCGGGGCGATCAGCAGATACAAGTACGAACAGCAGGCGCGAGGTCAGATGGTGCCACGTTTCTGCAGGTGGGGGCAGGGGGAACGAGGAAAGAGCTGCGCGGGGAAGCCTGCAAATCCGGCAGCGACTACACCAGCGCGGTCCCAGCCCAAAGCAAAACTTCCAAGGCTTAGCCGTGGGCGCCGGGTTTTCCGGCGCGAGTACTTCCGCCGCCACGGCCGGGAGAGCCGCAGTCAGGAATCCCCGTCGGAAAAACCGTGCCCTTTTCTCATGCGAATTTGGCAGGACGGAGGGCGAAGTCGCTCCCACGCCGCCCGCGGCCCGGGCTCGGTCCTCGGAGAGGCCCGGCATCCCGGGCAGGGTCCTGCGTAGGCGGCCCTGAGGCCGGGCCTCCGCGGGGCCTTCACGCCAGGGCCCCCTCGCCGCCCAGCTCGTCGGAGCCCCGGCCGCCGGGCTCCGAGGCCGAACCCAACGCTGCAGCGCGAGGGACACCCCCGCCTCCCGGAAGCAGCCGGCGGCTCCTGGAGGCCACGCCCCCCACATCACTTCCGGCGCCTCCCGGAACACACGGAACAGGTTGGAAAGGCACACTGTACCGTTAAAAATACGAAGTTATTTTCATTGACGTGCACTTCTATTTCTGTCCGTTGTCTGAAATATTAGAAAATAAGTAGAATCCAGCATTTGAGACAAGAATGCTTGCCTTCCAGGAACATCCTGGATGGAAGAGGGAAAATGATTTGATTGTTGAGCCCATCTAATAAAAACAGGTTATCCTTGTGTGGTCTGTAATATACTAAAAACAAATGACAACAAAAGCTTGACCTCACAACAGATCTTCTCATCAGCTGATGCACTCTTCAGGGGGTAAGCACACTCCAACCTGTCGTAAGGGTTAACCTGCTTCAAGCTTATGCGCTTCCTTCTTGCTGACCTAAGTGTAGCAGAAATAACCTACTTCCCTTGGGATTTGCAGACCACTGGCCTTGAGGCGCGGACTAGACTTTCCCAGAAGATAAGGCCTGGCTGCATTCGAAAATAGCCATGAGTCCAGCAAGTCTGTTCAGGGTCATGTCCACATATGAGTAACCGCCTGGACACCGGCTTTTCCCGCACGTAGCCCCCTCCCTTTCCCCATGCCTTCCCCTCTACAGCCTCTGGCTCGCCCTGGGTGGGGGCGATGGTCCATCACCAGCCGTTCCAGGATTTGCTCCTTTGTATGCACGTCTGGCTTCATCCACTGATGGCAACGTTCCTGGGGCTTGCTTAGAAATTCGTGGGGTCCAAGGGCCTTCTGGTAGCAGAAGCGCCCGAAATGCTAGCGAGAGAGTTTTCGGAGACGATGCACGTTCCCAGCCTAGACTGCTCCCAAGCATGTACTTCTCTTCCAGTTTCACTATGTGCAAACCTTCCTGTTCCTAGGGAGTGTGGACGACAGGAGTCAGGGTTACAGGCTGCGAAGGCTCAAGAGAAAACTCACTTGACTCACGGTAGAGTCTGGGTGAAGGCTCTGGGACATCAGAACGTGTTGTAAACAGAATAACCTGGGCAGCGAAGAACTTAGCTAAGCCCGTTGACTTTATAAGATGGCAGCGATAAACCAAGCTGCACCGTTTAGGGACAAATCGTTGCCAAGGCTACGGAATCAAGTCTTTGCTGGGCGCCCGGAGCCGGAGAAATGCAGCGCGCCCCGCCCCACGGCTGCAAGAACTCCGGGCTCTGGTCTGCGGGGTGAGGCGCTCCCGGCGGCCGGGGCTGGGCAGGCGGAGCAGAGGGCCGCCCCACATCCCTCGCCCCGACTCCAGCGCCCGTCCTCTCTCCGCGATGCACTGCGGGGCCCTGGCTCTTCGCCGGAGCCGGAGAGCAGAGCCTGAGCGCCGCAGGCCGAGCGGACGCGAGCACGCAGCTAGACGCCGTCGATCGCCGAGGAACCGGGTCCCCGAGAGGCTCCTTTTGTGTAAGAACCTGGAGGCTTGGGTTTGTCTAGGATCTGCGCTCTCGGCCCGCGCGGTCGCGGTCCCCCGCCCGCCGCTGGTTCTCGGAGCCGCCCGCCCGGCCGCCCGGCCTGCCCCGCCACCTGCCCCGCGCGCACCCGGTCTCTCCTTGAGGGCAGGCTCGCGCCCGGCCTGCGGCCCCCGGACCCAGCTGGATTACTCCCTGCTCTGCCCGGCCCCTTCCCCCGCGTTTCCCCGCGGGACGCGCACGGAAGCAAGGGCCCCATCACTTCGACGCGAACAGCCGGGAGAAACACGCTTTGGCAGACGCTGCTGCGCGCCGCGGCCCTCGGAACGCGGTGCGTGGGACGCCCGCGGACAGCGCCGCTCAGGCGAGGGGCGTAGACTGCGTTCGCGGCCTCTCCCTGTGCGTCGGCGGTGGCGGCTTCAAGCTCCGACCTGGCGCGGCGGTGGCGCCCGTGGTGTGGGCAACGTGGACGCCGCCGCGAACGGACATGGTTAGATGGGACTGACAGCTGCGATTGGTGGACTGGGCGCACCGGTGGGTGGGCCTCACCCAATCAGCTGAAGGCTTTAAGAGAAAAAAACAGATCTATCCCCAAGAAGGAATTTTGCTCCAAAACTATAACGTGGAAATCCTGCCTGAGTTCTCAGCCTGCCAACCTGCTTAGCAGGTTTCAGACTTAGCAGCCCCCGCAATGGCCTGAGCCGATTCCTAAATAAATAAATAAATAATCATATTCTATTTTTCTGGAGTACCTTTACTGATAAAATTCATCCTTAAAGTCCTACTAATGCTCATACCCATTTTCTTTATATACCGTCCCAGTTCCTCCTGGCAGAATTGTTCCTTGATTTGTGTTCATTTATCTTTCCAATTAGATTATAATACATCGTGTGAATCCATATTTTACTTTTTGTATATACCCTTAAAATGCATGACATATATGTATGCAATGACTATTCTTTTTTTTTTTTTTAAGACTTTATTTATTTGACACAGAGAGAGACAGCTAGAGAGGGAACACAAGCAGGGGGAGCGGGAGAGGGAGAAGCAGGCTTCCCGCTGAGCAGGGAGCCCGATGCGGGGCTCGATCCCAGGACCCCGTGATCATGACCTGAGCCGAAGGCAGACGCTTAACGACTGAGCCACCCAGGCACCCCTGCAATGACCATTCTTTAAACACGTAACATCTTCAGAAATCTGTACTAGTCAAATCACCATGCAGAGAGCTGTTCTCTCTGCTTTTGAAAATGTTTGGCTGCAAAGGTCAAATTATTGACATCTACAGTATGTATTTATTATTTTCACTTAACCTACATCAACAAATAATCCTACTTTTAAAACTTCCTCAATTTATGGTTTCCCATTGTTTTGCAAGCAACCTATCAAAAAGGTCAAAGATGGGGTGCCTAGGTGGCTCAGTCTGTTAAGCCTCTGAGTCTTGGTTTTTCCTCAGGTCATGATCTCATGGGTGGTGAGATTGAGCCCACAATGGGATCCACACTCAGCGGGGAATCTGCTTAAAGATTCTCTCCCTCTGCCCCTCCCCACCATGTACAATGGCTCTCTCAAATAAATAAATAAATCTTTTTTAAAAAGGTAAAAGTTGACTTCATCTTGTTTCTGTTTTCTCTGCTATTAAACATAAACGTCTTCTGAAGTCATTCTCCAGATAAGCAAATTCACATCTCCAGGGCCCAGTCACATAATGAGCTGGAGGGTGGTGATGCCAATGAGGTCTGGGCCAATAATGCCAGATCTTAATTTTTCAAAATAAAATGGAAATCCCAATTTTTACATAAAATCTCTAAATTTTTTAAGTTGGCAATGAATTCAATTCTTAAAAACAATGAATGAGCTACACAAGTGTCTGCCAAATGTATCTGAACTTTTGGCTGCCAGTTTTCATCTCTTTCATCCTACTGCCAAAAAGCTCAGTGCATCAGCACATTTCACGGGAGGATTCCTCCAGTTGGTTGAAAATTCCTCAAATGTACAGGTCTTCTGTGAAAGCCTATATTTTAAATTTCAAGGTGTCTAACTTCAGGGAGATTTAATGTTGTATCCACTTATCTCTTATTTTTGTCATATTTATTGACTTCCTTCTGGCCTGGAGACTTCAACCTCCCAAGTATTTCCTATCTAAGCCTTGAAACAGGGTGAAACAATACAAGTATTCTGATGGCAGTAGGTATGAACAATTAGCACCTCCAGAGTTTTCTTGGTTGGTATTTATTCATACCATCCCCATAAAAATAAGAATATAGTGAAATACCCAATTTTTATATATTTTCTAATTTATAAACTTTTTAATTTCTCAAGTCTTAATAGTGAGAAGCATATTTCATTCAAGGTAGAAGACAACACCAATGCTTCTCAGACTGTTTATTCCAAGGTTGAAAAGATGAACTAATGCATAATGAGGACAGAAGCATCCCGAGGATTAGGGTGGACAGTGCGGGAGCTGAGCTTGAAACATCTACTGGTTTTTAGCATAAGAAAGTCACAAGGATGCAGGAGAAGCATTACAGACTGTGGTACCAGATGTCTCTTCAATCCCACTACCAATATGTGATCAAGTCCAGCTGGAGTGCTGGATGGCCAGAGGAAATTCTGGGATTTTTTCCCCCCAGAGAAGAAATGTGTATCACTGAGATTTAAAAGTACAAAAAGAAGACATATGAATAAAGTACAGAGTTGAGGATACATATATACATCATAACTCTTTGCCAAAAACTGTGCCTTTCCCCTAAGCTGACAAAGTGCACAGCAAGGACTAAAATTTCATGTGCTGCTTTGGTATCTTTGAGCCTCGAGGGGACCCAAAGGCATAACCATGGGTTCTCCTGCTCTCGCTAGATACGCCTCCCACCCAGCAGGAAGTGTTCCCCACCTGACTAGTTCCACATCAACTAGACTAGCTGTACCCCACCTCATCCTCAACCTAAGAGGTTTCACCTCCTTGCCTGCACAGAAAATTATTCAAACAATGACATCCTCCGAAGAAAACCAGGGGTCACCTCATCCTCTTGCTTCTACAAAGCCTGAATCCCAAAGCCCCTGTTTGTTCACTGGGCTCCAAATGGCCCTGTATGGTGTGCTGTTCTCCTGCCCTGGGCTGTGTGACTGATAAGCTGCTGTCAAGCCCATCTGTCCAGTGTCAGGTGTCCTGTGTTTGGCCATCCTCAGAATACTGAGGTGGACTACCCCCTCACCAACAGGGTGAAGGAGAGACAAACAAAAGGGCAAGCTATAGTCATTTTATTTTTTATTTATTTTTAAAGATTTTATTTATTTTAGAGAAAGAGAGAGCACTCCCAGAGGGAGGAGCAGAGGGAGAGGGATAAGCAGACTCTGCGGTGAGCATAGAGCC